CTTCATTCAGCAAGAAATGTCTGTTAGACAAGCTGAGATGCGAGCAGCTATTGTCGGATCATCAGGATGGAATGAGAGGTAGAGTTGAGTGTCATCAGCATAGCAGTGATATGAAAAGCCATGTTTCTGAATGACAGAACCTAGTGATGCCATGTAGACAGAGAAGGGAAGTGGTCCAAGAACTGAGCCCTGAGGCACCCCAGTATATAGATGCTGCGACTTGGACACCTCACCTCTCCAAGATACCTTGAAAGACGTCTCTGAGAGGTAAGACTCAAACCACTGGAGTGCAGTTCCTGAGATGCCATTTTCCAATAGGGTTGACAGGAGAATCTGGTGGTTCACCGTATCAAAAGCAGAGAGTTAGAGGGTCAAATAAAGGTGGAACAGATGTGTTTTTAGTTGTTTCTTGAAAATGCTCGGATTGAGTTGGGCAGGTCATTCCGCTCGGTCGAATGTCCACTTCTGAAGCCAGATTGGTTGCTGTCCAGGAGGTTGTTCTGTGTGAGAAAGGCTGAGACTTGGTTGAACACAACTCGTTCAAGTGTTTTTGTTTTTTTGTTTTTGGTAATAAGATTCACTCATAATAATTCAGCATTGATAGACCAGTGTTTCCCAACCAGGGTGCCGCAAAAAAAACAACTAAATCTATTAATAGCCTTACTGTTAGACCTACCTGAAAAACTAAAAAGCAATTTATTTCATTTGTATCGTTATTATTTTTGGTGCTATCATTAGTAATTTGTTTATTTGTACTTATTTTATTACCGACTGCTTACTTGCCATTTTTTATTCAATTCAAAGTTTGAAATCAAACTATCTTGTGCTACTGCAACAAAATTACCCCACTGTAAAATCAAAAATACACTGAGTGAGCAAAAATTTGTCAGATAGCTAGTTATAATGATAATTAAACAATGTTTACATATAAATAAAAGCCTACATTAAAATCTGTCATATAAATTGGTCTCTTCATTAGAAATTAGCCTACTGATTGCCACCATTGATGGTGAAAAAATTAATAATATTAAAAATATCTGTATTACAGTATATTCTGCAGTTCTTCCCTGCTGTATCGAATATCTATACTTTTCAAGGTATCATATCGAAGTTAGAAATTCAAGTATTGTGACACAATTAATTTTGTAGGCTGCCACAAATTTGTTAAAATTTCCAAAGGGTGCCGCGACTAAAAAAACGGTTGGGAAACACTGTGATAGACGTCTCACATTATCAGTACATGAGGGAATTTACATTATTTATAGGGTTGAAACAAATGTGAATACTAGGAAACACTTGTAACCAAGCAAAGTAGATCTTATTATCTAGTACGTAATGTATTTTGATCTACCGCACCAAAGTTTGGGGTCAGAAAGAATTTTGTTTTAAAGAAATAGTGCTTTTATTCATCAAGATTTAATTAAATGGATCAAAAGTGACAGTAAAGTCATTTATGTTACAAACCATTTTTATTTCAAATGCAATGACTGCTGAAAATTCAGCTTTGCATCCAAGGAATAGATTAAGTTTTAAAATATATTCAAATACACAGTAGCTCTTTGAAATTGTAATAATATTTCACATTTTTTCAGTTTTTACTGCATAAGAGACTTCTTTCAAAAACATAAAAAAAAATCTTACTGAACCCAAGCTTTTGAACTGTAGTGTATCTGTTAGTGTCTCAGATAATGATTCACACTTATTTTTAGCTATAGAGTTTCATCCCAATGGCATTTGGGATGCTTTATGATAAATTACCACAAAAAAGACAGTGAAGCCTCCAGACAATGAAAGAAAAAGAGTCGAGTTATATAAAGAGAAGCTGTTTTCTGGGTTGGACACACACACACACACACATACACACATACCAGAGCAGCAGGGTTCTTCCTCTCGACCCTCCCTTCACATATTATATTTATCATGTTGAATTGTCATTCCAGCAGGAAAACCCCCTTAAATTTACATTCCAAGTGCTTCCCAAAGGTTTGTTTCCTGAACCACCAAATGTTGCACAGACCACCGCCGCATGACGAGTCTGTACAGAAATGAAAATGAAAAATACTCCAACACAAGATTTTATGATACTGATCATCTGACTTCATATTTTCCTGTTATTTCATGGCTGAAATGAATGAATGAATGAATGAATATTGATTGATTTGAGATTATTTTATTATATGAATTAAAATTTTGAATGATAGGGGAGACATGAAACTAGCATAGCTAAACTACCGTTTGATACGATTTTTTAAAGAAATTAATCATTTTGTTCAGCAAGGATGCACTGAATTCTGAGAATTGCGAGATATAAACTCAGTATTGCAAGATATAAACACAGACTTTCTGATATTCGGAGTTCTGCATTTACATCTCACAATTTTGCATTTATTTCTTGCAGTTCTGATTTTTCTTTCTTTCTCAGAATTCAGAGTTTACATCTCACAATTATTTTTGTTTCCGTCACAGAATAAAGAAGGTAATTGCGACTTCTTGTCTCACAATTATGACTTTTTTTCCTTGCAATTTGCGAGTTCATATCTGAGTTTATACTGTATCTCACAATTTTGAGAAAAAAAATGAGAATTGTAAGATATAAACTCAGAATTGCGAGAAAAAAGTCAATTGTGAGATAAAAAGTTGCAATTACCTTTTTTATTTATTTATTTATTTTTATCCTGTGGCAGAAACAAACTTCCACAGACTCGGAAGACTGGAGTAATAGCTGCTGAAAATTCAGCTTTCCATCACAGGAATAAATTACATTTTAAAATATTTTCAAATAGAAAACAATTATTTTAAATTGTAATAATATTAAACAATATTACATTTTTTACTGTGTTTTTGATCAAATAAATGCAGCTTTGGTGAGCAGAAGAGACTTCTTTCAAAAACATTTTAAAAAATCTTAAACGTCTGAACAGTAGTGTATGTAGGAAATCTGTTGCCAGGGATGACAGTCATACAGTTTAGCCTTATAATACAACCAAAGAATGTCATGATATGACCAATCAGAATCAACTAATCCAGAAAGTTGTTAAATAAGCACCACATCAAAGACTGTATAATTAAGTAATTTACATTTTTTTACAGTTTGCAGTTTGGCAAACGTTGATGCACATAGTAGAATCTTAAACTGGCCTTAACCAACATTTTTGTCATGAATGAGGTCTTTAAAACTCATTTTGTGGCCATTTTTTTCCAGATAAACTTGCCTTTGTGGGTTTCAAAGGCTCCTTCCGGCCAACCTGGGTGAAGATGAGTGTTGATGAAGAGCGGGCCAAACTCCACCAAGTGCTGCCCATCCCTGTGGTTAAGATGATGAAGCTATGAAGACGAGCGACACACACCGCAGGACTTCTCAGACTCGCAGAAGCAGCACTGCCGGACGAGCCCAGCTACAGGACTACTGAACCTAAAGCACCAATCACAGCCCAGCATGTGTTTATGTTACCTAGCAACCCCTCCCAGCGGATTCCGTTGTATGTGACAACGTAGACATTGTGATTTTTGGATTGTGTCGTCAGTTGATTATACTTGAGTTTCGACGGGAGATAAACAAGAAAAACAAAAACTAAAAATGAACGCAACATTCCTTGTTTTTGTCCCTCTCGGTGATGTTTGCCTTCGTTACAACATGTTTTTTCTAAATATGTAGAAAAAGAGGTTTCAGATTGTAAATGTCGTGAGGTTTCCTCATTTTAATTGTCACGCACAAGAGTTGGTTTTGTTAGTGTTGAACGAGAGAACCAGCAAAAAACAAACAAAAAAAAAACAATCCGGCCTTAAAGGAACAGGTCACCCAAAAATGAAAATGTCACTCATTTATGCATCACGTTGTTTGATGCAACAACAAACAAGAATCTTTGAAACATTTCCAAGCATACCTTCCAAAAGCATTATAAATGTAGTCCATGCATCCATATTTCACATCTTCTGATGTAATCCAATATTTTTAAGTGAGAAACTGCATGTGTAGTACATGAACATTTCAAAATAACTTTAAACAAAGTTTTAATGCAAGCAACAACTACACCATATAGGTTTGAGACAAAATGAGAGTGAAAAAATATGGACACAATTCTTCTCAATTTTTCGGTGAACCGTTCCTTTAAATCGAATAATCAAGAATGGATTTGAATCTGAGCATTAGTAAATGTCAGTCTATCAAAAAATGATCAAATCTGTGATGAATTGGCTTTTCTTCCATTTGGCAAGAAGTACAACATTGTCCCTTTGCCGAAATAGCTGGTCTTTTTTCGGAGATTGTAATTTGTTAGTGTTTTTATATGTTTTGTGTGTTTCTAAAAAAAAATCCTGATTGATAACAGAGATATATTTTATACTTATTTATTGTACAGGCACTATTACACAAAACCAGAAGGGACATCTTTTAAGGGACTTTTAAGTTGTAATGTAATTCTGTCCTATCTGTAAAAAAAACTTTTAAGTACAATTTTCACTTTAGTGTATAATTCAAATATACATGACATTAACTTTTAAGTTGTATATGGAAGTGATGTAAATGTGAATGATTTCCAAGTAATACAAATGTATTACTTTAGATAAGAAAAAAAATATAAAGACTTTTGTACAGAAATAAATCTTTTTTCCTCACATTTTTGGAGTGATATTATGTTTCTGTATATATATTTTTTTACTTTGCTTTTTTATTACCTGGAGATGACTTGAAAAACACACATGAACCATATATTGTCGCAATCGTGTGTTTACTATCTTCACGTTTCATCAGTCAAAACGTTTCTTTTTATTCAGCTTAGCTACAGCTGAGATTGCTTTGGCTACAGTGATAGCGGGATGCCTTTATCCATATTAAGGATTTCCTGGCACGTGTTTACACCTCGGTCCTGACCGCATTACTGAGTGTTTTTAGGGAATATTTGCATTTGTTCACATGCTACTCATGTGCTGGACAGTCATGATTTGGCTAACGCAGGACTCTACTGAATGATCTGCTTCAGAGGGGATTTTGAAGTGGGAATATGCAATGCCGGCTGATGAAGATACCTGTATATACCCCCCAGACAGTAACATATTGTCAGCCCAGATCCAGTACAAGTGGAATCCACATACCAGATTTGGGCCGACACTATGTTGCTGTCTGGACCTGCACTACACCGCGTGTCATCTATTTGCCATGTGAGAAAGGCAGTCGCATTGACCGCATTCGCAATTGCTTTGGACACGACTTATGGCGCTGTATTAAATTAGGTCAAATAAGAAGATTTGACGTTCCAGAAAACACAGCCAGCAACTCATGATGACAATCAAGAATGCCAGTACAGTTTCCCACATCTGAAGTAGCGTTTCCACAGCGACTGTAGAGCGCTTCAGGGTGCTTTACTGTGCAAACATGTCCAGATCATTAGTGTACATGCATGTATGTCCAGAATGCAGGATCCACCCTAGTCCGGTATGGCCTCCATGGTCATATTTCCAAACCATCTGCTGAAGAAACTCTTCATGGTCCCCCACCCCAACATGAACACACTAGACACATACCATCAATCAACATCAGCTTATTGTAAAGTGTTTGCTAAACGAAAGACACATTCCAGCATCACTGTTGTATATATATATATATATATATATATATATATATATATAAGAAACATTTAGTGTAGAATCTATGCAATGGCTTTTGCATTAGGGCTCTCCATTACTCTGCCATTATCATCACAGTTCTGTAAAGATTGGACATATACGTCAATGTAGGAAGATGAACAACAAGCGCCTGCAAGAATGGATGAATGTTTAATGGATGATTGCAAACAAAAGATCATTTTTTATTTCAATTAGATCACATTTATCATTCAGTAAAGTGCTGAAAAGCTCACAGCTTTCCATGAGGTGTACTTACGTTTTCCCTGGTATCATGGCATATGGGGCTTCAGAAGGGAAAGGATGATCGATTACTCTATTAGCGACTAATGTTGCTCTGTTTCAAACTGGGGCAATGACTCTGCCACTGCTAAACTCATTTTCTTTTGCCAGAAGCTGTTTGACTGATTCCAGAGCAGTTCATTTCTGCCACATCTTCCAAATGCATTCCAGCATTCTTCAACAAGCTGTTAAGTAAACCTTCAGATAAATCAGATATTCTCTACTGCTGCTGAGACCAGACTACTCATGTACTAGCTTGTTGCATAAAAGAAAAAGAAACATAAATTGATGTTCACACGACATTCATTGATGGACTGGAGTGGTGTGGATTACTTGTGGATTATTGTGATGTTTTATCAGCTGTTTGCAAAATTTCTTCTAATCGGTTCCCATGAACAAACTAACTCTAAAATATACACACAAAATACACATTTTGGATGGCCTGAGGGTGAGTGAATTTTCAGCTAATTTTCATTTTTGGGTGAACTATTCCTTTAAGTGCTACACTTTTTCTGCATTTGAAAATTTGACGCCAACTGCAAATCATCAATGCAATGCATGACACATAATTATAAAAGTGGTTTATTCTTTGATTCAGACTGGGAAAAAATGAGGTGAGTTACAGTAAAACAAATCAAAGAAACTGAAACAAAGATTGCTGATTTGACTCATCAACCTGTGTGTCAAAGTACCTGCTAACATATGTTAGAGAAACGCTCCTTCAGTCCCATTAAGACCACGCTGCGCCTTTGAGGCTCGTGTATCAAAGCTCCTGCTTGCTTTTATTTGCTCGGTTGGCTGCTTTCTTGTCTCCTTTCTTCTTGGTCTCGTTTTGCTCGTTCCCCTTGGCATCCTTCTTGGCAGTTCTCCTGGGGTACACCTGTCCTTCCACGGTCACATCCTCACAGCGGTCCTGAGCGATCAGGAAGTCTTTAATCTCCCAGGCGTAGCTCCCGTCACGCAGCATGAAGATGGCACGGTTGGATCCCACCACAAATCTGATGAGAAAGATACAAACAGTGATTATAGCGACTGGTGACAGAGCACCAAAGAGCATTTCAAGAGATAGAGAAGGAGAGCTTCAAAATGGAGTGTTGTGGCACAAAGAAGCTCTGATTCAAATCTACTTATTAATGCATCTTTGTTAAATACTTCAACTATTTCTAGCATCACAACATTCGTTGTGAGAGTGTTTTTAAAACTCTTCTAAAACACTTTCACAATTTTGTTTTTTTTCCCCCTTTGAATCATTAAAAAATTCATTTTTACCACATCTCACAATCTATGTTGGAAATTAAATTCAATCAAAATCATTCAAACATTTTTGTAATAAAATGACCGACTCCTTTGTCCTTTTAAGGATCATTTGCTTAGCTTTTTATGTATACAAAACACACACAATTAAGTAATATTTTCACACTTTTTGCATTAACAAAATTACAGCTTGATTGGAAATGATGATCACACTTAACATGTCTAATATTTCATCTCAAACATACTCTTTACTGACACTGTTGTCTGCTTGGTAAAAAAAAAAAAAGTATACAAACTTCTGAAAAAAATTTAAGAGGCAAAAAAGGGTACAAAATATTTTTTTATTTATTACAAAACATTGTTATTTTATTTTTTCATTTTAATTTTATTATGTTTTTATACAAATGTCTATATAATTTTTATTCATTTTTATTTCATTTTTATTTTTAGTACTTAAAGATAAACTAAATGAAAATGAGAAACTGCCTTGGCAACTAGCTGATTTTATTTTAGATATTTCAAATATGCCAACAATATGTATATGTATATATATATATATCTATATATATATATATACACACATAAACACTACATGTTCATGTTTATTTTACTTCTTGTTAGGAATAAATGATGAATATGATGAATTTTCATATTTTAAACATCTGGGTCTGGGATGAGGGTAAAACAATAAAATCCAAACATAAAAGGTATTTAAAAAGTAGCAAAACATTATGAAGGCATGGTATTAAGTTGCACAGTATAACATAAAATAAAAGACAGAAATGTGTATTAAAAAAATAAATAAAATCTTTGATTTAATTTAAAAATAAATAATAATTCAGAGCACCTGAGGGTAACTGCTTTGCTCAAACACACCAGGGCTGGGATCAAACTGTAGTTTCCCAAACTACACATAATAATAAACAGCAGTATTTGCCCAGTAATAAAATCATATTCTTGTTTTCCTTTTAAATATCTAAATATCTTTGAAACAAGATCAATTTACTACAAGATCAGCTTTAGATATTAAGACTCAGATTTGATCAATTCTAAACAATGTAACTGTATTTTGTAATTCTGCAAAACCTGATTATTTTTATTTTTTTTACTTGTTTATACTTAAAAACAAGTGAAAATATCTGCCAGTGCAGTATGACAAAATACACTTATATTAAAGACTGATTCTCTGAAAAAAAGACCTCTTTGCCTCTCAAGTAAATGTGTCTCTTGAATTTTTAGATATTTTAACAGGAAAACAATTCAAAAAAGACTAATTGTAAAGCTATTAAGAAGTTGCAGTGTAGTTATATATTGCACTACAAAACAGAAGACATAAAATGCAGCAGAGGGATTCCAGAACCACAACTGTAATATCTGTGAATTATTATTTTGAATCAGTTCATTAAAACGAACTTTCTAAACAAACCTTTCCAAGACTTTATGTTCAAACTGTTTATTCAGTTTTATACAAATGAATTGAACTGAATCAACACTGAACTGACTGGAGCTAAACAATGACACTATTGTCATTTTTTGGAGCTGTTTTACATTTCATTTTTCCTGTTATGAAATATCTACACTTGATGTCACCCAGACATGAACCTATAATATAACTGCTTTGACAGTCGATCAATATCCTTATCGGACACATCAGCACAGGAATATGGTTGTTACCTCTGAACATCAAAGTTGGCATTGAAGAGGCTTCCCTGCCACAGGCTGGTGATCTCTTCCGTCTCCTTCTCTGTGGGGTTTCCTGACACGGTGGCAAACACCATCAGGGTCCTTCCCTTCTTGGACATCTTCAGGAGCTCCTCTGGTTTAGACGCATCTATTTTAGAGAAGTCGATGGGTGGAGGAGACCGTTTGTGCTCAGGTAAGTCGCCCTCCTCAATTTCATCATCTTTCTGTAATAAATAAAAAGATGTCAATCACTGAAGAAAGAAAACATCTTTTTAAGATCTAATGGCAAAACTTAAATTACTGGTAGATATAGGTCTGGGCAATATAAATTATATAATATTTTTCAGCTTATTGAATGCATTGTACAGCCCTGCTGTTGGACGTCATGCGAGAAGGAAAAATGTTACACAAAATAAAGATATTACAGTGACATAAAAAATTTATTTTCTATAGATTTGATTTATTTTCAAACTTGGTTTTGAAACTTTAAACATTCAATATTTTATATGTATACTTTAAAACTTGAAATCTTATTTTATTAAAACATTTCTTACATTAAATACAGTATTTAATATTTATAATTTAAAACTTTAAACTGTAAATATTTTATAGGCTTACTTACAATATTAAATATTTTAATCGTTTAGTGTAGATTCAGAATGCAAACATTTGCAGAAACTATTTCAATAG